AGTACACAGACTGACCTTTGCATTCTTCTTCCAATATTTACTTCCTGCTATATATATAAATATTACGTAAGTGCTTTTCTAGAGGGAAAAACGAAAGAAAATATATATTATTAATTAATTTATCGTCGCCCAAAAGCCAAATACATGTGATTATGCGAAGACTGAGATGGCAATGAGTTGGGTACGGTTTTGACCATGGTTGTCATGCCGGTGGCATGCCACCCGGTTGAATCTGGTTCAACCTGTGCTGGTAATGAAACCGGCATAACACCACCGGTATGATCGACTTGTGCATTCTAAGCAAAATGATATCACTTTAATGAATTTAATCAATAAAAAAGTAATATATTATTCATTTTATGAATCTAATAGTTAAAAGTTGATGATATTTTTTGGATTCTAACTAAATTGTCCATAAATATGTTTTATATATAATTAAATACATTGGATATTAATTGTTTTCACATTTTTTTAAACCGGCATGAACCGGCACAAACTGGTTCTACCACCGGTCGTACCATTCCACTTGTCAAACCGGCACAACGGTATAAACCGGTTTGACAACCTTGGTTTTGACAAACCCAAATCCAAATTCATGGGTTTATCCGTAAAAAAAATCTAGAGTAAAATTTAATGGGTTCGGAAAACTCAAACCCAACTCAACCCGCTGGGTATCTGCAGGTTCATGGATACCCATGAGTTTTTGTGGTAAAAAACTATCAAAATAAAAGTCAAACATCAATTTCTCCATACCAATTATCCATACATAAAACACCCATCTAGAAAATTCAAACAAATCACAAATTATCCCTACAAATTATAAATTAGATTGAGGAATATTAGAATTGGGCGACGGAATATTAGAGTTTGGAGAGAGTAGGCGACGGAATAAGTGTGGACGGACATCCATAGATCGGGTATCGCTAAACCCAAACTCAACCCAACCCGATAAAAGTGCAACGGGTTTAACCCAAACCCAGCCCGAAACCCGCCAACACGGGTTTTACCCACGTTGACCGGATTGGGTCGGATAGGGTACCTGTGGTTTCGGGTTTTGTTGCCACCCCTACTTGCCTGACCAATGATTATACATACGTACTCTTCCTGCCAGTACTGAGCTGCCACCTGTCCATACATATATACATACGTATCTACTCTACTCCAACGAATTTTCCCGTTTCCAGGCCCAAACAAATAGGAAGGACGAAGACCGACCCGACTGACTAAATGAGGGATCACTTCGCTCGTTGCAGGAAAAGTCGGAGCTGAACAAGACAATTCTGCAATGCTTAGGTTTTGCCGCGTACCTAACCTAACTCGCCATGTCATCAATTCAACTATCAAAACTAACAAATTAGTATATATTTATTTTTGTGACAAACATAAAATTTTGTTATAAACCAAGTGACCTTTGGTGTAATTTAGCCGGACAAGCTATTTGGCGGTCGTCAACCGCGGTGATGCATTTACCGCTTTCATTTATCGCGGTGAATGCATTTACTGTAGTTGACGACTGTAGTGATGCCCAAACATGTGTATTTTGAAAATTTTATATAAAATGTGTGTGTTTTGGAATTTTTTTTTTGTTTTTAAAACATGTGTATTTTGGGATTTTTCCCCTAAATTGTGATACGTAAAGCCTGGAATTGAAAAATGGCGGTCTTGGATGCCAAAGGGAGTGAGGGGAGAGGGAGCTGCTTGTTGGATGAACTGTTTTATTTAATACTTTCTATAAATTCAATGCAAAATAGATTATACCATTCAGCTAATCACATAACCGACGTAAAAAACCACCCTCCACTTTCTTAATGCGTTTCATTCGAATGATTTATGACGAGAATATGAAAGTAGACAAGAAATACCCCCAATTATGCTAGAAACCTTTAACCGGGATGGGATACGGTGAATCCCTTAAGAGGGTTGTGAGTTTGACAACCAAGGACAATTTGGGCAGTGAAAAAAATCTTATTAATTACTTTCCTTTTTATATTAATTATAGTTTGGAAAATTAAAACACATATTAAATACATTGTTTTAATTTAAAATTTAAATCCTATCACAAATAGATTTATCTCTCCTCCTATGTCTCTCTTCCTTTTCCAGCAGCCACTGACTCCAACCGGCTGATTTTCTCCGACCAGCAGACCTTCTCCGGTGAAATCCTTTAATCACACTCGCTCCGGGAACCTACAAAAAAGTACACTCCGTCAATGAGCTAATGATAATGATTTTTGTCTAGTGGTACGTAAAAACTACCAAAGATATTGTACCAGTGAATACTTGTACGCTATCACTAGTCACTGGTACGCTACCACTAATCATTGGTACGTACCAGTGAGTAGTGGTAGCGTACCAGTAGCGCCTACCAGATGGTAGTGGTACCAAACGATAGTGGTACGCTACCATTAAGATCTGGGCATTACCATATGGTAGTACCACTAGCAGCTACTAGATGCTAGTGGTACACTACCAAATGAAAATCAGTACCACTAGTCTAAAAAAACAGATCTGAAAAAGAAAAGGATGAGGAAGGGGGGGGGGGGGGTTGTGACATCGCGTAGGGACCTCGTGGCAGTGGTGGTGGGAGACAGAGGCGGCGTCTCCACCGTCGGAGGGATGGCGATGCAGCGGCGGTGGAAGGGCGCTGAGAGGGCTGCGACAGTGGTGGGAGGCGGAGGGCTGTGGCGATGTGATGGTGGGAGGCGGAGGGCGCAACATGTCAGCGGGAGGACTCCGGCGGTGTTGGCAGAAGAGAGAGAGAGAGAGAGAGAGAGAGAGAGAGAGAGAGAGAGAGAGAGAGAGGGGAGAGATGGGAGGAAGAAGAAGAAAAAGACGAAGAAGAAGAGAGAATGGTTGGTGATGGCGGTAGAGAGAGGGGAAATAGAGTTAATTAGGATTTTGGATAATTAATAGGGGTAATGATCTAATGTGGTAAATTTGTTCCTCCAAAAATACTCTTAATCCAATTTGTACCGTAATTTGAAAATAGGAAGAAAGAGTATGAAATAGAGGTAAAGATGTGGTTAGCGAAATTCACAACCCCTTGAGGAATGTCACCGTATCCCATCCCGCCTTTAACCCAACAAAATATCAACAAATTGTAAAGGCTGTCGGCAAATTAGGCAAAGCATTGATTTACAGACGTAAATAACCATAAGGTTATGTTTTCGATTTCAAACTAGCCAGAGAATGCATGACTTGCAAATGCAAACTTTCCTCACCACACACCAGGAGGAGAGATGAATTTTGCTCCCACAAATCATAGATGGTATAAAATGAATGGGTGGATTGGATCATAGAGATCTAAGTGACATCTAAATATTGAATCAATACGTAAAGTTTGAAATGTTTATGTACTAAAATGGCATAATAAAAAATTATAGGTACCAAAAAATGTTATTTTATAATGATGTTTTTCATTAAAAAGTAAGTTTTAGGTACCAAATTGTAAAATACATAATATATATATATATATATATTTACCAAAATGTGATTTGCAACAATCCATCAATCCAATTAGATTTGGATCAAATGTATTGGATTTAAGTGAGTTCAATTAGTTTGATATTTAAGTGGATAAATTGAAACGGATTCGTGGATTGTATGCAAAATTGCCGCCTGTACCTACAAATAAGGAGTTGGAAGTGAAGTGCAAGTGAGTAGTATTAATGTAGGTATAATATGTATATTTAAATGCATATGCAATTTTTGTAAGTGGATTATGAAATTAGCAATTTAACATAAGTAAGGATTGCAAAATTGTTTAGGTATCATACTCAAAGAAGTGCTAAAGATGGAATCCCCCCCCCCCCAAATGGTCGTAAAAACAACTTGAGCTAATTCAAATATAGGGAGCTTCACATTATAATCCTACTAGTCGGTGATGGCCATTTTTATCCTGACTTGTGTGACTCGACCTGTTTGGGGCGGGTATTATCCTGACCCGTAGTAGTATTGAATGAGACATAGATATTACTTCCGACCTGTCCGCCCTGCCCCACTCCGTCTCATACCCATATGAATATTACTCAACCTGACCTGTACTTAGTTCGACGCGAATACGATATTGAGTTCTCACTCCACTCCATTGATCACTACCACTAATTAACTAAACTAACCCTAAAAAAATTCGCCTAAACAATTTTACCCACTAACCCGCTCCTGCCTCCATTAGCAACAATCAAGGTTGTCAAACCGGTTTATACCGTTGTGCCGGTTTGGCAAGTGGAATGGTACGACCGGTGGTATAACCAGTTTGTGCCGGTTCATGGCGGTTTAAAAAAATGTGAAAACAACTAATATTCAATGTATTTAATCATATATAAAACATATTTGTGGACAATTTAGTTACAATCCAACAAATATCATCAACTTTTAACTATTACATTCATAAAATGAATAATAAATTAATTTTTTTATTCATTAAATTCATGAAAATGATATAATTTTACTTAGAATACGTGAGTCGATTATACCGGTCATACCGGTGGTGTCATGCCGTTTTCATGACCGGCACAGGTTGAACCAGGTTCAACCGGATGGCATGCCACCGGCATGACAACCATGGCAACAATAGAAAGGAAAACGCGTTGGAAATGGGATTGAAAGGAAAGGAAGGAGAAGGATGTCTCCCCACTCCCCACTTTCCCCTTCTTTATCTCCCTTTCCTGTTTTTCCACTTTTCTCTATTTTCGCTTTTATTTATATATTTATTTTCCTTCCTTCCACATCCTTCATTTTCACATCTCATCAGTTTCTCACTTCTCTTCTCTGCCGCTTCGCCTCCTTCCCTTTCCCCCACCATATATACAGAGAGCAGAACGCCCAGAACCCATCTTTTCCGCCAGCCGCTCCCAAAATTCTCAACTAACCACCATTTCCATTTTCTCTCCATCTCTCTCTCCTTCTCACCTGAAAACACAGATACCCAATTCTAGCTTCCACCCTGTAACCTCAATAATTCGAATTCTGTAGCTTTTTTCTACAGACGGGAAATCCAGATGCATCAACCCACCTCGGCCGTCGGCTTCTCACCGATTTCGCCCAGCTTCAATTCGTACTCCACCTCCTCCGACGAAACCCTCGCCGAGATCGCCGTACGCGTCGTCCAGGAGCTCTCCCTCGGCGACGGCGACGACTCTGCCCTCGACTTCTACTCATGGGAGGAGCCAGACCAAAACCAGGAAGAAGAAGAAGAAGAAGATGAAGCTGAAACGACGCCGCATCATGGACAGAGCAGCAGCGACGACGAGGAAGAAGAGGAGTTTGAATTCGCAGTTGTGGGCAGAGAGGCGGTTGCTTCCCCAATTTCAGCCGACGAGATCTTCTACAACGGCCAGATCAGGCCCCTCTACCCGCTATTCAACACCGATTTGCTCCTGAACCATCCAGATTTCCATCCCTTCGACTCCAATTTCGACTCTAAAGCGGCGCCGGCGCCGGCGCCCGCGAAGCCTGTACGCGGTCGGCGCCCGCAGCTGAAGAAGCTCTTCAAACAAGAGGAGGGGGGCGACGGTAGCGATACGGATTCCTCGGAGGAATTGGAGGGCCTGCCGGAGGGGACGTACTGCGTGTGGAACCCTAAAAAGGGGGGCGCCGGCGGCGCCGGGGGAGGTCGCAAGGAGGAGCCGGAGACGGCACCGGAGATTCGCAAGAAGAGCAAGTCCACCGGGAACGATTCCAAGAGGTGGAAGTTCAGGGACCTGCTTTACCGGAGCCACAGCGACGGTAAGGACTCGTTCGTGTTCCTGGCTCCCAAGAAGGCGGCGGCGGCCGGCGGTGGAGATAAGATTAAGGGCGGAGAGAAGGAATTGAAAGAGGGAGGAGAGAAACAGAAACGGTATGTGAAGAAAGATGGAGAGCAACGGCGGCGGCCGTACCGGCAGGACGCGGCGGGGCTCTTCTCCAACATCAGCGGCGTGAGCCGGAATCTTCACCCATTTTGAGCGCTCCATCTATCCGCTTTTCTTAATTATATTTTCCCTTTATTTTTTTTTTTCTGTTGGTTTCTTTCTTTTTCAAATCTTATCAATTAGGGGTACGAGAAAGAGAAAAAACGTATATTATTATGTGTTTATTCATTGGCGTGTTGGAAAGTAAATATGTAATGGGACTTTTTTTCCTCCCCCATTCCCTTGTTTGTGTAAATAGTAAATACTAGATGAAATGCTTAAAAATTAAAGTACGTGTCTATTGTTTCATTTATTACCCACTTGAATGAGGTTATTTTAAAACTAGAGATTATAGGTTAGTTGATTGATTCACTTTAGAAAAATATGTGTTCGAATTGACACCTACACTTTCGACGAGTTAAATTGTCATATATAGAGAGAGGCAAACTCAAATGGTCTTATATCAAAATGTTGTACTTTTCCTCCCCCAACCAAACAAGGCATTTCGAAGAGCTTCGTTGGCCTAACTTTTTTAAATTTCAATTGAGGAAGGAGGCATGTGAATAACACGTGGTTGGAAGGAACTAGCCGAACATAAGGATGACATCATTTTAGGACATTTTAATACATTTATTTATTATTTATCTTTCCCCGCTAGACCTCTAACACCGGTTAATCACACTTAACTCCTCCTAGGTAGTGACTAGGGAGAGTTAGGCGGCGCCTAGGCGTTTGAATGCCTAATGGTTTGCCTAGGGTCCAGGTGGGTCATTTTGTTGTCGTCTAGCTAGCACCTAGGTGTGTCTAGGCGTACGCGGAATTACACCTTTTTCAACCCTGCTTTTCTTCATTCTGACTGGCAATAATTATATGATTGTAAAGCATACGGAACAATACAATCACTTTTTTCTTTTGCTTCGTATCCTCATCCAAAATAATCAAGCGGTCGTTTGGATGATGGATATATGAATGAGACAATTTAATCCAACTACCTCTCATTTGCCTCAATTCACAATTACCTGACAAAAACATATCATTTTACAATGCTTATCCCATCCCCTATCAATTTGAAATGAGGCAAAATGAGGCAATCTAAATTTTATCGTTCCAATTATTACATCCACATTCTGTATTGCCAAACAAAAGTATTTGATTGAATTGTTTCATTTTAAAACAATTGGGTCCAATTGTGTCATCAAATTAACCACAAATTCATTTATTCTCTCAGCACTAACTAATTTAATTATTTGTTTATATCATTCAGTGGGCAATCAATTTATAGTGGTTGCTGATTCCTTAGCATAAAAGAGGTAATTAAGAGTGGATCAACAATCTTACGTTTGCATTGTGCAATAAAGATAAAAAAAAAAAGGTTTGTCCTTTTATTTTCCGAAAGAAAATAGTTAATTGAAGTTTCTTCCTTGTGGAGATTTGTGATTCATGGAAACAATGATTTATGTGACGACAAATTGATTGGTAAAAGAACTTGAGAGAAGCCTTTTCCTTTTCCTTTACGCCTGTCTTCATTTGGGATTTTGTATTCTTTTGCTACACATTCAAGTTGGTGAATTTATTTGGGCTTCTCCTTGAAAGCTTATCATTACATTCCACTCGATCCACCAGAATTGGAGGACCAAAATCAATAAAGAAAAACGAATAGTACTTGATGTTCAAGCAATCACCTACCATCATCTTCTTCGAGCTTACAGAGATGTTCACGATCTTGTTTAAAATACGGCTAGTTCGAGTTGACGATTACATCAAATAGAGTTGATGAAAAAAACACAACTTGTGTTGTTTTTCAACGAGAATGTGAGTTCTAAATCCTAGCTAGGTAAGGTATCCTAATTGACCGGCCTAGGACTACTCTTTCCTTGCTGGGTTTTGGAATCCTAATCCGGTTAGGAGTCTGAAAAATCATATGAACTACAAATCTTGTTCCAATAAGATTAGAACTCTTATGGTAAGTTACCAAGTCGGAACGAGATACTATTCAATATATTGTTGTTGGTATGTAGAATGGATGGTTTGACGTTGTCCACCATATTGGAAGGTGGTGAAGAAGCAACAAACGAGTTTCAAAGTATGCGCTTCCAATGTAGGAAAAAACAAGACGAGGTGATTAATTTAACGAGTTAAGCAACAAGAAGCCGGGAGCATGTAATCTAATTCTAAACTTATCCGATAATCAGCTAGCGGATTAGACTTGTTTATTAGTGTTTAGTTTAAATAATGATAAGCGTGTTGCATGGAAAAATTCAATCAATTGAATGGCTTGTGAGTTTGAAAGTGCAGACATTCAAGCTATCAAATATAGATTTAATTAGTAGGCACTAGAAGGCCAAAATATGCCCTAATTATATAACTACAAAAACTACCTTTTCGATCCGGGTGTATTACATATAGTTCACATATATATAATAATAGTTTTGTCGACTCTTCTTGTACCAAAATTTGGTTGGCGTATTCAGATTGCAAAGCCTTTTGTTTTGGAATAGTCTCTCTGGTCTTTCAATTCGCCACTCAACGTACAAGTGGTGGGCGGTGGGTTCACCTGTAGAATCCTTGGAGATTGTTGTTAATATGAATCACAATGGACTTTTATTAATTCATGCAAGTTTCAACGATTGTAGAATCCTAGTAGAAGCCATTTGTGATTTTGGCTTACCAATGTTCTATTTGTCGAGCATACGAGAAGTCGATCTTGCTCTAGATAAATTCTCCATAAATGTCATGGTCTAGTCTTTGGAATGTCGTTTCTTTTCGTACCGTAGTTTCGGATTTTAATTTATGATTTGTAGATGACGAATTACATAAAGGTCTCACCTCTGGAGATTATTGCTAATTGGTTGTACTTACGATTATCTTTCTTATGTACCTTGAAAATTGTTCTTGTCACAATCTTAAGCGAGCAAGTTCGGGTCCTCCAGTTGCATACAACCCTATCTGATTAATTGAGATGATAAGTTATTTGTAAGGCAATGATATAATATGCGTATACTCACATATCTCATTCTTGTTATCGTCACAATCATCAAAGTACCAATAGTCAATTTAATCGCAGAGTATGATACGTCTATGCAGACTTCAAACCCAACCGATTAATCTTCATTTCAGTAGAGGCATATTTAACGAAATGATATAACAAGTCGCGACTATGCATACTCGAGCTTCCCCAACCACTCGAACTAAATATTTTTCAACTTGGACGCAGCGGCGGATCTAGGGGGGTCCGCCCCCGGGCTACGGCCCAGCCCTCCTCTGGATCATCCAGAGCTAGTATATCTCTGTAAATTTTCGATTTTTCGGTATTTATTTCGGTGTTTATCGGGTTACGTCCCAGTCCTGTCCGACTCTTTTTCTAATTATGGCCCAATGCTTTACTCTATTCTGAATCCGCCGCTGCTTGAACGCAATTTTCTTCCCGACAAGCAGAGTCCAATAATTTTCTCCACCACGAACAATCCAAAAGTTAGAAAAGCCTCGTTGGTAGAATAGAATTTGATCAAGGCGACGAACTTACTTAGTAATGCCCATTATGATCACCCAATTGACAAGACAAAAACCCACAAACACCCATCAGGAAATCACCTGCGGCTACGAATCGAGTTGTGTTTTTGACCAGTGAATGTGGGTATATATTTGGATTCTCTGGAATTCGTCGTTGGATGTCGTCTATTCATCGGGATATTAGTTAGCTAGAAAGTGTGTTGCTCCAAATGGCAGACAATTTGCTTGTTGTACATTTTCCCAGCCCCGCAGTCGCGGCACCATTATTGTAGCTAGCGGTACCACATGCCACTGAAAATTAGGGTGGATTCATGGTTGTTTAGGAAGCTATTTGAATTTGGAGGAAAAAGAAAAAGAAAAATGTGACGGTCTTTGAGATTCGAACTTGTAAATTGAAATTATTAGAGACAATGTTATATATTACACTACGAAAATATTGTTGTTATATTTAAAACATAAATGTGATGATAACTAAAACAAAGTCTGATTAAACCCAGTTTCCCAAAAAAAAAAAAAAATTCAAATCCTAAAAACTAAATTCAAAATCTCCCACGTTTCTGATATTGACAAAGCTCTCATTACTATCAAGTTGAATTTGTTTTACTTGGTTCTTGATATGATAAGGCAAGAGTTGAACTACATGGCAGTTTGATAAGGTGAATACTAGGTTGTTGAAGTGTACATGACTTGTCTTAGCTCGGTTAATGATCAGTTGGCTGCTTTCGACAAGGAGAAGCTAATAAAGGCTTGCTCGATTTGATCGTAATGAGTTTGGTCACATTTCTGGCTCATTTCTTCTGCGACATCTTGAGAATCATTGCTAGTTTGTCGAGTATTATGATTTATTCCTTGGATTAAAAGGAATTGATGAATTAGGTTAGATTGTGTTGAATACAAAACTGAATCTATTATATATAGTGATATGTTTGCTTCTCAAACTTGTGTTGATTTTTGCCATTTACGTTGCCACGGCGAGTGTTGAAAATATTCATTAGTTTTGGACTACAAAAAAAAAAAAAAACAAGCTTCAAAATTGAATAAACAATTGCAAAAGAGAGAACACTCCTAGCTAAATAAAATTTTGAATTGTGCCACTACTTTAACTAGCCGCAATGGGAAGCTCTCGACCTATAGAAAGGAATCTGTTCGATATCTCAAAGTTGTTTGATACAAATGTAAACAATTGAAGTGTGGTAATTTTGGAAATTGCATGCAAATGAACAATTGTAGCTAGGGTTTTGCATCGATACAACAATATACATGCATGGTATGTGGCTGTGGGGCTATTTAGCCTCCTCTTAAAGTTTGGATACAATACAATAGCTAGAAGAAGAAAAAGAGGCTTAGAAAAGCTAATTAATTAGGTATCAATCATCATCTAAAGATGATTTAGCTAGAAAGAAAATCAGCCATCTTTGGACTGGAAAGATTGATTGCCTGGTTAGTTCCTGGAGGTTTCCACTATATTCGGTTCTTTCGCTTTCCCGCTGCCACTTTTTTTTTTTCTTTCTGCAGAGAAGATTATTTAATTATTATGATTATCT